AGTAGCTCTTTAAAACTAAGCCTGATTTGGTTTACTTGGGATTTTTTTCTGTTACTTCTGATAAGATTTTTGTGCTCATTTCATTTGATTAGTTAAAAAAAACAGTAGCGATGTGTGTGAATTAGTGTGTGTGTTTGATTTGCATTTTACAGAAGTCTTTCTGGTAAACATACACAATGTGTACTCGGCTGATAAACCCTTGACGGCGATGCATTTCCATTTAGGACAATACCGTCTATTAGGAACAAATCCAAACCGGTGGATTAGTGTTTTGGGCTAGGTGTCTTTTTATCAGCAAATTATTGAATATGTATGAAACATTAAGAAGCAGCAAATACAAGAGTCTGTTCCACAGTTACTCAGTCTCCATCAGACCTGAACAAAACTAAGACATCTGCAGTTGTACACAGGTGCTCTGTTATGAATTTTAAACAATATGAATTAAATATATAAATCAGTGAAGGGTGAGAAAAAAAATTGTTTTGTTTGCACGTCATTATTTGCCTAAGGAACTGTGAGCGCACACTGTTAGTTGGATAAATTAAGCAATCAATCACTGTGCATTGTCCATTTTGGCTCCTTTTAAATGTGAGAACCTTTTTCCGTCCGCTTCCCAAATAGCACTGTACCTTACCTCTCAATTTTTTGGATTCTGTGCCAGAAATTTTTAAACACACAGAGGTCTGTGTGTGTTTGTGTGTGTAAAACAGCCTGTGTGTAGTATTTGGATGCTTAACCCACACTAAAAAAATGTCTGAATGTAATGCTTTTTTTTTTTTAAATAGAGCACAAATACTTGTTTTTAAATTATATAAAAAAGATACACTACTGTTTAATTCAGAAGTCTCTTGTGTTCACTTAGGCTGCATTTATTTGATTTAAAATGCAGTAAAGCTATAATATTGTAAACAGCCTGTGTGTAGTATTTGGACGCTTAACCCACACTAAAAAAATGTCTGAATGTAATGCTTTTTTTTTTTAAATAGAGCACAAATACTTGTTTTTAAATTATATAAAAAAGATACACTACTGTTTAATTCAGAAGTCTCTTGTGTTCACTTAGGCTGCATTTATTTGATTTAAAATGCAGTAAAGCTATAATATTGTGAAATATTATTACAGTTTAAAATAACTGGTTTCTATAGACCAATTCATTGTTTGCAAACAGTGATGATGTTTTTGTGGGCGGAGCCTATCTGGTGGCAGAAAATGATGGTTTTCAAGTAGCATTCTATGGAGCCATGGAATAAAAGAATTAAAAAAGGTAAATTTGAGTTTATATTTCAAAATTCTGACTTTATTCTTGCAATTCCGAGATTATATCTCACAATTCTGAAAAAATTGTGGGTTGGTTCTGGGTGCTGAAATCGCGTTTGGTCTCGTACTGTATCGCGTACCTTGTCAGTGTCGTGCGCTTTGCTTAGCCATTTGTTGTGATAAACAGGAAAGTGTGTTCAAGCGCCAGCAAAACAGTGTAAAGAAATACTCTTTGTGAGAAGCAGTCAATCAGCAGAAGTTTAAAGCAGCTTGTAAGTGTATTTATTTCTTGTCTCAGTGTTTAGCGCAGTTGTCGTTGCTAGGAAACGCTTGTTTTGTTTACTGTAGAGACGTGCTGAAATGGCGTTTGGTCTCGTACTGTATCGCGTTCCTTGTCAGTGTCGTGCGCTTTGCTTGGCCATTTGTTGTGATAAACAGGAAAGTGTGTCCAGCTGAATTAAATTTGAGTTTTGTTAGACGAATATATAAAGCTTAGTATACTGCGGCAGCGGTCGCGGCAGCCCTCGTGTGAAGCCCGAAGAGTGTAAAGACCATTGACTCTACCGTTCGACTCCACCGAGCAAGACACCGGCAAGACACATAAGTATCGCTTCTGAATCATTCTCTTTCCTACTACTTCTTCCCCTTCTGTTTTCAGTTTTTATAACCAATTCTTACTATGTGTTTCCAGATCCCTACTATCACTACCACTCGCAAACCATGCATCACACACTGTAGGCAGCGCAATCCTAACAACATGCGCACTTTGCCTATGTCTACTAATCAATCCGAGCAGCTGAGTCCTTAGCCATCTTCAAGAAACGACTAAAAACACATCTGTTCCACCTTGATTTGACCCTCTAACTCTAACACTTTCTATTCTATTTTAATTCTACTTTATCTATATTTATCTTCTTTTTTATTTTTATTTCAAAAAAACAAAAAAAACAAACAAACACTAGCTTTCTATTTGTTCTATTCTATCTACTTGTTTTTCTTTGTGTGTGTGTGTGTGTGTATGTATATGTATGTGTGTGTGTGTGTGTGTGTGTGTGTGTGTAATATGTATATATACACCTTGCTACGTGTACTGCGTTAGGCTAACCGAGACTTGTCATTTGCACTTATATATTGTTGCTCTTTTGTTAGTTTTGACTGCTTTTATTGTCCTCATTTGTAAGTCGCTTTGGATAAAAGCGTCTGCTAAATGACTAAATAAATAAATAAAATAAATAAATTCTAATAAGGAAAAACAACTCGTCGTTCTCTCTTTTCCCCTCGGCTCAGAATATGAGTTATGAGGTTTTTTCCCTCAGAATTGACAAACTCGAGTCATAAAGTCCGAACTAGGAGAAATCAACTTTTGTGTGAAAAAAAGTCAGAATTGTGAGATAAAATAAATAAATGTTATGTGAAATGTTAATAGTAATTGGTTTAAATATGTCATGCTGTAACTGTAGGGCTAATACAATGAGTCCCCTATGAACAGCATATGTGAATATTATGTAGACCTATCAAATTTATGCTTTAAAAGTAGAGTAATCATAGCCGTTTTCATCCATAGTATGTCCGTTTGAACGTCTGCGTTTAGCTTCAAATGGCATCTTTGACGACAGTATTCTCTAAAAATTATTTGCATTCCGATTCTGGCATCAAAAGGCACAAAAATATTTTTTTCTCTTATTCCATGGATTTTACCCATTTGCCTCCACTTGTTACCAGTGTTTTTCTGCCACCACTATGCGCGTGCAGCTGCAAGTGACGTAAATGTGACATCTACTCCGAATTGGTCTATTTGAATATATTTTAAAATTTAATTTATTCCTGTGATGACAAAACTGAACCATCAGCAGTGATTACTTCAGTCTTCTGTGTCGCACGAGCCATTCTAATTGATTTGAGTGCTCAGGAAACAGTTTTATTAGAATCAGTGTAGAAAACAATTAATATTACACTATACAACTTATTTTTACTGAAACTGTGCTGCACTTTTTCTGTCTGCTCCTCAAATTTGCCCTAGCACTATTACTCACCCCTCTGTAATTTCTTCTGTTCTTCTGTGCCAGAATTTGTTAAATGTGATTATAGGGAGAGTTTTATGAGCTGTTCATCCAGGTGTAAATCTGCCAAGGCCATTGGAGAGCGCACGCTCTTTCTCAGGCCCCGCAGCCGTTGGAAACGAACGCACTAGCACAGCACGCCGACTTCATCAGTACTGCACAGCGCAGCAGAAATCTGCCTCGGTCCTCCCTGATTTACTACCCTCTTGTTCAGTCTCACAACGTGGTGAAGCAATTTGCAGGGTAATTCTGACAAATTCCTGGGTACCGAAAGTTGCGTAGAAAGCTCATTTGAAAGCCAAAGTCTATTTAGCCTCTAGTACGCTTCGAAAGAAAAATTAAAAATAAATATAAGAAACCATTCATGAGAGAGACATTTATAAATGTGTGGCATTATGAACAATGACACACACAAAACAGAGTACGGCCCTACGCCACCTTGACCTTTCAGGGATGGCTGGTACTAACCTTTAAGCAGTGTGCTAGCGGGCGACAGACGCTTTTGGTAGGTGCTGGTTTTGGACGAGACTGCGCACTGCCGCATTGATCTCCCAGATTGCTCTGGTGACCCCGTCTGATTGGCTCTGCGGGGATTCTATGATGCATTCTAATCACAGCACTATTGTTGCTTTTGTGTGCTGCACATCGAAGAGGTCGTGGGAGTCACATTAGTCCTTCTGCTGGTTCAGCAGAACTGTCGTTCGCTAAGGCGCATAGGTTGTTAGACTCGAGAATTATAGTTGTACGGCACAGTAATGGCTGCTCTATATTTGAGAGGTGAACAACACGTGGTTGGGAAGTATTTTAATTTCCTTGTCGCCGTAATGTCAGCGCTACATTTCAGTGTGTTTGTGTGTGTAGAGCAGCCTGTGTGAAGTATTTGGATGCTTAAGCCACTCTTCAAAATGTCTGATTGCTAATGCATTAGATAAAATGTCCATCCAAGTGTATTTATGTGAAATAAATTGAGCACGAACACTATTTTAAATCATGAAACAAGATACACAACTGTTAAAAAGTTCATAAGTCTCTTATGCTCGCCAAGGCTGCATTTATTTGATCCAAAATACAGTAAAAACTGTATTAAAATTGTTACAATTTTAAAATAACTGATTTCTATTTTAATATAGCCTATTTTAGATTGTAATTTAATCCTGTGATGGCAAAGCTGTGATGTCATACGAACGATCCTTAAGAAATCCTTCTAATATCTAAACATTTCTTATTATTTTCAATGTTAAAAAAAAACATTGTGCTGCTTAATATTTTTGTTGAATCCATGATACATTTTTATAGAAATCTTTTGTAATATAAAGGAAATGACACCTCTTTTAGTGTCATTTCCTTGCTAAATAATAGTGTTAAAGGGGTTCTATTATGCTCTTTTACAAAGTCTTGATTTTGTTTTGGGGGTGTACTATTAGTTTTTGAAAAGTGATTTCTGTTAAATAAAATATCTCCTTTTGAAGTGGACTTTGAACTTTGTAACTTTGCAGATCTTTTTTATGCTCAAACAGCAACATTACAGACTAACTAAAGTTGAAAAAGTGAAAAAGCATAATAGGACCCCTTTAACTTCTTTAATAGTAAAACGTAGTCACCCCTGATTTGAAATGCATTTTGAAATGTGTAACTTGTTTATTTGATTTAGCTTTTAATCAGACAATCTCTTCCTCTTCGCAGGTAAATTTGGTTCTGGATGACGGCCGTTCTCTGGGTCTCATGATCCGCGGAGGGGCTGAATACTCTCTGGGTATCTACATCACAGGTGTGGACAGAGGCTCTGCAGCAGAGTGTGGAGGACTAAAGGTACAATTTATGCCTGTTTTACCCACATCCCTTCATTTTATCTATTTGTATTGCTTTTTGCTTAAATTGTCTTACCGTGACCTTAGGGCTGTGCAAAAAACCGAATGCGATTTTCATGTGCATCTCGTCAGTAAAGCCGCTCCTGTGATTAGTAGTAAATCTCTACACAGAGCCGTAGATCACTGACAAGCTACACAAAATCGCATTTAAAATCGCAGTCGATTCATTGCTGATTTTGAACTACGGCTCTGTGTAGTAAATGCCGCTCCATCTGAACGCACGTGCTGGAGATTTACTACTAATCACAGGAGCGGCTTTACTGATGAGATGCGCATGAAAATCGCATTCGATTTTTTGCACAGCCCTACGTGACCTCTAACTGTCCCACTGTTGAGAGTACTTCACACTCCTTAATCTGTTTTTCTCTCTCATTTCTTGCATTAATTGTTCCACAGCTCTTTGGCATGTTAATTTTGATTTTCTCTTTCCAAATATTTAAGGTTTTCTTTGTTGCATTCAGTCTTTTGTATCAGGTTTTGCCTACACTGTGAGCAGCAGCCAATGTGGTCTGTGAGGAAAACAGCTTAGTAAACAGACTTCATAATGTCTTCATGAAAATGCAAAAAGGTTTTTGTGTTGGTTGGGTGAGGTTAGGGCTTAGAATATCTAATAATCATTATCTCAGTCTAAAAACAAAAGAAGTCCATGCAAAGTCTCTACCAAAATACACTGTTCTTTGCCCACTGTCTAACAGGCATCCCACAAATCTGCTCATTTGTTGACTGATAAAACATGTTTGTATATTCTGTCCAAAGAGTCCAGCTGGTTTTACCTCTGCCCGCTTTGATTTTAGTGCTTCCCTCAAGTGTGTTTGTGCATGAAAGAAGGAGAAAGAAATATTGGAGTCCACTGTGAAGTGCCTGGGATTTTTCCTCTAGCTATTCTTCTGTTGAATAATATGCCCAGACATCCTGCGTTTATTCCATTGTTCGTTTTTTTGCCACAATTTGAGGTGAATATCATTATTATGTGGTGTCAGGGAAAGTTTTAAGGTCTTTTCAAGCTGGCAGTTCGCTTTGTGCCCAGCCTTTAGATTCATGATGGGATTGAGAGGAGATGGCAGTTTAAAAGGAAGGCGATCCAGATACACTCATGGAGAGAGAGAGAGAGAGTTGGAGAGAGTGCTGGATGTTTTATCTTCAGGCCATATGTCTGTTCAGAAGAGAGATGTGAGATGGATTTCTGGGCAGCGGTTTGGCAGGAAGCTGTGTTTACAATGCCTCATTGCTGCTGTGGGAATCCACAAACATGAAAGCAGATTCACATGCATTTATCATGGCACATGTGCTGTCTGAAATATAACATATACTGTACATTAACCTTTAGAAGTTTGGGGTCAGTATTTTATTTTGAAATAAATTTAATACTTTTATGTATCTGACACATTTTGGTCAATTGTAGCAGAAAAGACATTTACTGTGTAATGTTACAAAATATTTAATTCTAAAAGAAATGCTGTCCTTTTGAGCTTTCTATTTATCAAATTATCCTGAAATTGATCACAAAACTAGCTACAAAACTGTTTTCAACAAATAAAAAATAAATGTTTCTTGAGCACCAGATCAGCATATTAGAATGATTTCTGAAAGATCATGTGACACCGAAGACTGGTATAACAGCGTAAACTCAGCTTTGCCATCAAAGGAATAAATTACATTTTAAAATATATTAAAATAGTAAACAGTTACTTAAATTTGTAATAATATTTCACAGTTTTACTTTTTGAGACTTCTTTCAAAAACATTAAAAACTATCCCCAAACTTTTGAATAGTACTTTAAAGGTGTAGTTCACAAAAAAAAATAAAAAATCTTTCTTTATTTCTTTCTTTGAATGTATCTCTAGACAGCTAATATATCAACGTGAAAAATTATAGCAATGTGTGTGCAATGTATTCTACATTTATAGTATATTTTTGTCCTTTTTGTAGCTTGACTGTCATGGTCGCTATGAACTGTCTTTGTAAAATGAGCAGGTAAGCCTCCATGAGTGTGAGCCACCACTCCAGAGCGAAAAATAGCTTTCATCCAAATAGCCTGGCACTCAGAGTGATCGTGTTATTATAGTGTTAGCAGCAGATGAACCCCTGACCCCACACCCCAATATAGACACACACACGCAGAAAAACACAAATGCACAGATCAATGAACCCAGATGGATGAAACATCTATTTCTCAACAGGTCCCTTGAGATGGATGTAAGGCCAAGGGGTCTGTAGCGAGGTTGCCTTCAATATGTGCAGCTCCATATATACTATATATATAACCTGTGTGAAAAGAGGCATAAATTGGTATTGGCAACAAATCCCTTTTTGTTCAAAGCAGAAGTGATCCATCTTGGAATTACCGGACTTCATAAATATTAATGCTGTGTTCCATTCAATTGAGAAAGCCAGAATTTCTAACTTGGAGACTTTCAAATCGGAAATCACAAAGTGACTGCCAGTATGTGGCGTTTGATAGCAGAGACAGATTTTGATGTTAAAATGCTTTGTTATGCAGGGTTTAAAGGGATAGTTCACCTAAAAATGGGTCACCATTACTCACCCTCATGTCGTTACAAACCCGTAAGACCTTCGTTCATCTTCAGAACACAAATTTAGATATGTTTAATGAAATCTGAGAGCTTTCTGACCCTCCATAGACAGCAACGCAACTGACATGTTCAAGGCCCAGAAAGGTAGTAAGGACATTGTTAAAATAGTCCATGTGACATTAGTGGTTCAACCGTAATTTTATGAAGCTATGAAAATACTTTTTGTGCACAAAGAAAACAAAAATGATGACTTATTTCAACAATTTCTTCTCTTCCGTGTCAGTCTTTTACCTTTCTGGGCCTTGAACATGGTAGTTACATTGCTGTCTATGCAGGGTTAGAAAGCTCTCGGATTTCATCAAAAATATCTTAATTTGTGTTCCGAAGATTAACGAAGGTCTTATGGTTTTGGAATGACATGAGGGTAATTAATGACCGAATTTTCATTTTTGGGTGAACTATCCCTTTAACTACAGTCAAGCTCATTTTTTGGAAATCTAGTTACCTACACTAACAAAACTACATTGAAGCTACATTTGGCTAGTGTCTTCATAAATGTATTGTATATTAGTATAAATATCAGATTGAATAGATATAATTTATTATTATAAATAGAGCAATTAGTGTTTATATTCCAGATTTGATTCTTCCCAAAGACTCTGATCTTTTGATTCAGTTCATTGAAAGGTCCCAATTTGATTTGTTCCATAATTTGCAAGGGATAATTCACCCAAAAATGAAAATTCTGTCATCATTTACTCGCTTTCAAATTGTTGCACACCTGTATCAATTTCAAAAAAATAAGATATTTTGAAGAATGTTGGTAACCAAACAGCTAACCGTAACCATTGACTTCCATAGTATGGGAAAAAATATTGTAGAAGTCAATGGCTACCATCAGCTGTTTGGTTACCAACATTCTTCAAAATATCTTCTTTTGCATTCAACAGAAGAAAGAAACTCGTACAGGTTTGGAACAAGTGGAGGGTGAGTAAATGATGACATTCTTTATTTTTGGGTGAACTATCCCTTTAAAGTGGAGACACCCTATATTTTACAAAACATAGTAATGCACAGCAGCATTTAACATAATATTTTACAATATAAAGATATAAAATGAATCATTTGCATGTCAATATAAACTGATTCACTGAAATGACTCCTACACCCTTATGTACAGTCTAGGAGAGTATGTTTGATTATTGCTTCAGCTCACTTGACTGTAAAGCTGTGTTTACAATACAGTCTGACATTAACAACAGCCATATATTTTGAGATACCCATTCTTATTGGAAGAAGTAGCTTGTTACATTTTGAAAAGAGCTACTGAGAAATGTCCAAACCTGCATTAATTTCTTTCTTCTGTGGAACGCAAAATAAGACTTTGTGAAAAATGACTTTGAAAAGTGATTTTTGTCTATACGGAACAATATAATTCAGTGGGGTCCAATGTTGTTTGGGCTCCAACTTTCTTCAGAATATATTTCTTCTTTCCACGCTGCCATAAAGGAATGTGCTTATCACACTCAGGACAGTCGTGATGGATGAATTTAGTCCTATCTCTGAAATGATTATGACCGCAGTAGCACTTTCTTCCTCAGGCAACACCAGCACTTGTTTGCAAACAGTATCTGTTGTCTTATCTCACTCCCTGCCTTTATCTTTATCTCCAACCCTGGGGTTTAGGAGGTTGAACCAGAGGTGTAAAAAAGAGGTCTTCGAGGCAGATGCAGCTCGTAGAGTTTTAATTGGATGGAATAAGGTGCTTGCACACTGAGCAGTCTCTCAGCTTCAGTGTTACAGAGCACAAAACCCCTACTGACCGCTGAAGAGCTGGAGTTAATCAGTGTGCATTCACTCAAGCCTCAGCCTCTGTTTCTGTTTTTGTCTTCCTCCTATCTTTGAAGTGCTTGAAGTGAATATTTGTATGCATATGTCTTACTGTCTGTGCTTGCTTTATTGCAGTCTCACTTTGGGCTGCTCCTCTATAACTGTACTAAATGGATAATGAGCAATACAATTAAGGCACTTCTTGGCTGCAGCATGGTAAGACAATTACTGGGAGCTGTGTTGTAGTTTGTAACGGTCAAATTACTAAAACCCATAAAAGTATAAAGACTTTTTAGGGCTTCATTCATTAACTGAGTTTTTAGTGAAACGCAGCTGCTCCATTAGCTGATATTGTCAACCTGAGGCCTAAGGTTCAGACACAGTTACTTTGAAGTCTTTTTCATTCAATAAATTGGACCTGTTAAACTGTTTCTTTCTCTGCCTATTTATCTCTCTCTCTCATAGGTATTTCTTTTCTTTTCTTTCTTTAATTTTATAAGTTTATTTTAGTTTATTTTTAGAAGAAGAAATAAACACTTTCCAGACTAAATTTTATTATTTTATTTTATTTTATTT